CATGAACATCTTCTGGGGTCATGTTGGAAACTACAGGCATTAAGGTTAGGGCTGCAAGGCAAAAGCTGTTATTTGTCAGTTTTGCTCATGGCCATGCCTGAAGCATGGTGGAGTCTGGAATACTTGTGAAAGAGGGTTTCCCAGATAAGCATGCATCACCGAGGCTCAGTAAAATGTTTTCATTAGTCATCCCTATTTCCTCCAGGAACCTGGATCCATGTACCTCCCTTCTCTAAAACAGAGCCAGACTGACTTCTCAGACCAATGGAATTCTTGCCTTGTAATAAGAAAAATCCTTCTTCCCAGAATCCAGTCTAGTCAGATTTTCTAAACTGCTGACATCCTCCTGAGGAAAGTGAGGGACTCTTTTGGAGGATTTTCTTATTAGTATAAATAAGCACAAGCAGGTCTACAAATTGCACTGCCACCCCAAGACTTCTAAAAGGGTATCTTGGGCCTGTTCCTCCTAACTGGATCAGTAGGGCATAAATGCCAGTAATTATGAAAAGAGAGTTGTACTCTGACTCTTGTCCAATTATCCTAACTGAGATTCAAACAATCGGGGCCCTCCAATGGCACCACCTGTAGGTTGTAACCATCTACAACTAGTTTCAACTAGTTGAAAGTCATAAGTCACATCTTATACGCCCAACTAAGCATACCAACGTGTTAACGCCAAACAGCTTCGAGAGTTCCACCAAGAACCTGACCTTAATGCAGCAAACCATACTCAAAGTAGTTAAGAGCTGAAATACTGGCTGCTGTACCAAAGAAGACATCCCCTGCACAGTTGATTGAGAATGTAGCCCACACAATCCATACACAGAGGAAGCGAGCACTAAGAGGACTTTCTCTGAAGTCCATTCATCTTTGGGAACAACATTCTGAGTGGTCGGAACCACTCTGCTTGATGAGTAAGGTCTCAATGTGGTCCACTTCCCCCCTTGTTGTGAGCTAACCAAGCATCTGCTAACTGGTCTCTTTAAGATCCTCCATTGGTAGTCTGTAGCTCATTATGAAGGGAGTAGGTGGTGCTTGGCCTGGGCTATCTGGCCCCTGCTTCTTTGCACATTTATACAGATGTAATGTTCCATTTTCAGCCATTTCTGGGGATACAACAGCTCAAACTTGAGGAAACCACTCATCACAGGCACCATCACATCGCACCCAGTCTACCTTTTTAGAAAAGCAGTCACATGGGCCACTTTTTAAACTACTCTTTTTAATTATTCTCTTCTTCCATTACAAATACAACTCCCTTGTTCTTAGGCGGCCTTTGGCCGTTCTGTGCTGCACACGCAGCATTCTCATCATCAGATTCCTCTGCTCCTGACCAGTCGTACTTTGAGGGGATATCCAGAACTTTTTTCTCTCTTTTCTTCTCAGTACTCTCTTTCACAAGCTCGACTTTGGCTGCAGCAGCCTTTTCTTTCTTTTTCTTTCTCTCTTCTTTTGCTAGCTTCTTGGCCAACTTATTCAGCTCATTGGATTTGTCCACATTTAATTTTAATTTCTTCTTTTTAGGTTTATCCATTTTCTTTAGCTCCTTGACCTTCTGTTTTCCTTCTCCAAAAAATTGTTCTACCTTCTCTAGCTTCCATTTCTGTTTCTTCTCAGAAGAATCCTTTCCTTTCATTTTTAGTGGTTTCTCTTCCATGCTATCATCCTTCATGTTATGTAAGAATCTGTCCTCTGAGGGTGGATGTGTGCTCTGCAGAATCCGCCGTATGTCTTGTGTCTCATCCAGACACACTTCTAGGAGGTCTCCCACCATCTTGAGTTATTCCAACTGGGCTTTTGCTCCAGGAGACAACTCCAACACCGGAGGCTCCAAACTTCGGGGAACCAAAGGGCTCTTCCGGGGCAGTTTTCTTGGTGTGCTAGAACCTTGAGAACTCTTAGAAGCAGAAGAATACACATGCTCTGCACAGAACGAAGGTGCTGTCCACATGTGAGTTACCACTTCCTCAGACTTAATGGAATTTCTTCATCACAAAAGAGATGGGGTTCCAAACTACTAGAGGATTTCCACACTGGCTGCATCCTTCATGTCATAGCTGTATGTTTCCGAAATGTCTTCATTAGAATCTGTTTCTTCATCATCATAGTTCACTGTTTGGCCGTGGGGGAGGGGAGATGATATGCTACTCACCACCCGGCTAAGAGCAAACTGTTGGAAACTAGGCAAGTGTCCCTGTGAGTCTGGCTTGGCAGCTGCTTTTTGGAGTTCACCACTGATGATCTTTTCAGTTTTTTCTCATGCTGCTTGTTCCACCATACGTTGGCTTAACACAGAGAGTGTGACCAGGGCAGAGGACAGTTCATCTGTGGCTAAGGCTTGCCGTTCTCTATCTTGTCACGTTCTGTCAAATACTGAAGTGCCTCTCCTTCAGGCAACCATACAGGCAACTTCTGAAGGGATACCCGGAGTCACAGAAGAGTCTCTAGCCTGGATCTTCGAGATCTCATACAAAGAGGGCAAAGGAATTTTACGTCTTTAGACTGCCAGCAAGATTCCTTTTTCTAGGAACTTGATTTAGGCAGGGGAAGACAGCTGTTATGGAACCAGTCTTTGCAGAGCTCACACTGTAGCATAAACCCAGTAGCTCTCTTGCGGCAAATGCAAAATTTTACTTCTTCTATGCAGTCCACAATTGTCATCTTGGCTAGGTTGGCTGCTCTGAGGGAATGCATGTCCTCAATCTCTTTTTGTTCTCATTCTTTGAAAACTGCCACCACCATGGCTGTATCTCTCGTCTCCTCCAGTCCTCCTTCTAAGTCACTCAGAGGTTCAAGATCTAGGTCCTTCTCCTTTGGTTAAGAAAGGATCTTTCACCAAAAGCAATCTCCAGATTCAATGCAGTGCCCATCAAAATCCCAGCAAAATTCTCAAAGACCTCGAAAGAATGGTACTCAACTTCATATGGAAAAACAAAAAACCCAGGAGAGCCAAAACAATCCTGTACAATAAAAGAACGTCTAGAGGCATCACTATCCCTGACTTCAAACTCTACTACAAAGCTACAGTACTGAAAACAGCCTGGTATTGGCATAAGAACAGATAGGAAAACCAATGGAACTGAATAGAAGACCCGGATATCAATCCACACATCTTCGAACACCTGATTTTGACAAAGAAGCAAAAATTATCAAATGGAAAAAAGAAAGCATATTTTAACAAGTGGTGCTGGCATAATTGGATATCAACATGTAAAAGAATGAAAATAGACCCATATCTATCACCATGCACAAAACTCAAGTCCAAATGGATCAAAGACCTCAACATAAAGCCAGCCACACTGAACCTTATAAAAGAGAAAGTGGGAAGTACTCTTGGACGCATTGGCACAGGGAACCACTTCCTAAATATACCCCAGTACTGAACTGAACAGAGAATTCTCAACAGAAGAAGTTCAAATGATCAAAAGATACTTAAGGACATGTTCAACTTCCTTAGCTATCAGGGAAATGCAAATCAAAACCACATTGAGATACCATCTTACACCTGTCAGAATGGCTAAAATCAAAAACTCCAATGATAGCCTATGCTGGAGAGGATGTGGAGTAAGCGGAACACTCATCCATTGCTGGTGGGAATGCAAAATTGTACAAACACTTTGGAAATCAGTGTGGCAGTTTCTCAGAAAATTGGGAGTCAACCTACCTCAGGATCCAGCAATACCACTCTTGGGAATATACCCAAGAGATGCCCAATCATATTACAAAAGCTTTTGTTCAACTATGTTCATAGCAGCATTACTTGTAATATGCAGAACCTGGAAACAACCTAAATGCCTCTCAATCAAAGAATGGATAAGGAAAATGTGGTATATTTACACAATGGAGTACTAGCGGTAGAAAAAAATAATGAAATATTGAATTTTGCAGAAAAAAATGGATGGAGCTAGAAGACAATATTTTGAGTGAGGTAACCCAGACACAGAAAGACAATTATCACATGTACTCACTCATAGGTGTTTTTTAAACATAAAGCAAAGAAAGCCAGCATACAAACCACAATCGCAGAGAACTTAGACAACCATGAGGACACTAAGAGAAACTTACATAGATCTAATGTACATGGGGAGTAGAAAGTAGAAAAAGATAAGATCTCCTGAGTAAATTGGGAGCATGGATACCTTGGGGGAGGGTTGAAGAGGGAGGGGAGAGTCAGGGAGGGGAGCAGAGAAAAATGTCAAGCTCAATAAATATCAAAAAAAAAGGAAAATAAATAGTGGTCCAATTAATATCCTTGCACATGTATCCTTTGGTACCTGGCTAAGCTAAAAAAGAAAAGATCTTTTGTGAAAACAAGTGTTTGTGTGTGCTTTGTACCTCATCTGGGGTCCAGAAAGGAACCTCCTCTGTGTGGGGGTCCCTTCATAAATAGTCACTGAGGCCAGAGATTCTGCAGGAATACAGAAAAAATCAGTGGCTAGAGAGTTGTGTTAGGGTGCGCTTTAGGTGATTGAGCTGATTTTGAGATCTCTCTGCTCTCTGTAAATAACTCTCATCCATACCCCTGTTATTATCACCAATAAAAACTCATTAGTTCACCCAAATTGCACACAGGTCTGTCCCGGGTTTCCTTTTGATGGTAAGTATTGTTCTTTTTAAAAATAATACCATGGTGCAATGTCCCGGGCAGCTCGCAGAGCAGGTACAAGCGGCAGCATCATGCGGCCGGGGAGTCAGTGTCCCCAGGCTAGCGGCAGAGTCAGGCGGCTGGATGCGGTGGACGGCAGAGTAAATGGACATAAGGCTATACACAAAGCTAGACATTTATTACTTAAAGAAAGAAAAACGTAGACAAACATAGAGAGAACAAAGACACACACACACACACACACACACACACACACACATGCACACGCATGCACACACACACCAGAGAGAGAAGATGGCTGCGGGGGAGGTCCCAAGTGGCTGGGGTGGGCGTGGTTAGTTCTTAAAGTGGCAGCAGAAGACTAACAGTAAGTAGGCCTGTTGTTTCTCCCCAGGAAGTCTCAGACAACACATAGGTTGTAACCAACTGCATCGTGCTGCCACCACCACTGACTGAGATGATTCCACTGTCATGCCTTCTCCCCCATGACTGACTGAAGTCCCTTGAAAACTTTAGCCAAGGAAAACCTTCCTCCCTTGGGATGTCTCTAACAGGTATTTTTGTCATGGTGTTGAGAAAAATCACTGATATCCAGGTTGGATTTTCTTGAACACCTTCAGCCTTTTCCTGGCTCTGTCTACTTGTAATTGCTTAACTAATCAGGTATAAATTAATTATGTAATTATTTTGTTCTCTTATAGTCTGTAAACTTCAAGACCAGTGGCTTAACAGGTAAGGCATTTTTCACCAAGCCTATGACCTGAGTTCGATCCCTGGAACTCACATAATAGAAAGGTTTGGTTGTCGAATATTATTTTAAGTAGACAAAGATGTGTTACATTTGTCTATGGTGCACAATATTACTTAACCTGTGTAAAGGTATTTACTTTTGCTTATACTGCATTTATTTAGTGATGTAAGGATGTGTGTTTAACTATATAGAGATATAGTGCATCTGTTTTACTTTGCCTGCCTAAGGCAACTGATTGCTCTAATAAAATAGCTGAATGACCACTAGCTAGGCAGGAGAGGGCTAGGTAGGGTTGGCATGCAGAGAGAATAAATAGGAGGAGAAATCTAGGCTTGAGAGGAATAAAGGAAGAACTAAAGAAGGAAGAGAGAACAAGGGACATGCCAGGGCAGGAAACCAGGCAGATGCCAGATAGACAGACATAAAGAAGCAGTGAAAGTAAAATATACAGACATAGAAAGGTAGATAAAGAGAAACAGGTTAATTTAAGTTAAAAGAACTAGCCAGAAACATGCCTAAGTTAGGCCTAGCATTCAAAACTAATAATAAGTCTTTGTGTCATGATTTGGGAGCTGGTTGCTGGCTCAAAAAAAAAAAAGCCTGGTACAAAAATAGACACCCAAAACTCGTCCTCTAACCTCTATACACAGGCTATGGCATATCTTCCCCATCACACACACACACATACACACAATCATCAGTCAATAAATCTTGTATGCTTTAAAACAACAGAGACTATGGATTTTGATCAAACTTTCATCCCTTAAGCCCATTATGACACATGGATCTACAGAAATTCAGTAAACACTTTTCATCCTGATGACCTCCATTTGCCAATGATGGATTTGAAAGAAGGCTTTAGCCTCTAGGAATTTTTTTTTACTGTGTTTCAAAGAATGGGAGCTAAATAGCATAGATGTTGGCTCAATGTAATTTTGTCCCAACATTTTGATAAGCAGTAGCCTAGATTTATATTCACTGAAAGACTTCATTAAGCATGAGTACTCAAAACACAGTTCTTTTGTTGTCGAGAAGGCCGAGAATGGTATAGAAAGGGAAGTGTACTGGCTGGCTTCATGTGTCAACTTGACATATGCTAAAGTCATCAGAGAGGAAGGAGCCTGTAATATGATCGGGGCCAGACTTGTTGGGGGTTTCTGTCCTGCCCAGTTTCCACAGCTGTTTAGGTCCCAAAGAAAATCACACAGAGATCTCTATAAGTTATAAAGCTGATTGGCCCATTAGGTCAGGCTTCTTATTAGTTCTTGTAACTTATATTAACCCATATTCTGATCTATTTTAGCTATATGGCTCTGTACCTTTTTCAGCTGGCAAGTCACATCCCGCTGCTTCGGTGATCTGGGCAGGAGTGGGAGGAATTAACTTCCTCCTCCCCAGAATTCTCCTGCTCTCCTTGCATCATTTCCACTTCCTGTCTGGTTTTCCCGCCTACACCTCTTGCCTAGCCAATCAGCGTTTATTTAAAACATGATTGACAGAATACAGATAATTCTCCCACATTAGGAGCCTCAGTAAACACTACCCCTCCATGACCTTGGTAGCAACCCCTGACTCCAGGATCCTGTCCTGTTTGAGTTCCTGTCCTCACTTCCTTTAGCAGTGCTGAAGTATAACCTTTCCTCCCCAACTTGCTTTTTGGTCATGGTGTTTCATCGCAACAGTAGAAACTCTAAATAAGACAGGAAGGATGTGTTTTCCTGTTTATGCAGTAGAGCAAAGACAGAGGTAGCAACCACCAGATCTCAGGAAATGTGGTATTCTGTTGGCACATGTCTTAGGGTTTCTATTTCTTTGATATAACACCACAGCCAAGAGCAACTTAGAGAGCAGGTAACAATGCACAGCTGAAGGAAGGCAAGGCAGGAACTCAGTCGGAAAACTGAAATCAGGAACTGAAGTAGGGGTCGTAGATTAGTGCTGCTTACTGGCCTGCACACTCGTGGCCTGCTCAGTCTGTTTTCTCGTAGCAGCCAGGACCAACAGCCCAGAAACAGCACTATCACAATAGACTGAATCCTCTACATCAATCACTGATTACAAAAATGCACTACAGACTTGCCAGCAGGCCAGTCTTCTGGGGATATTTCCTCAAATGAGAGACCCTCTTTCCAATGACTCTAGCATGTGTCACATTGACATGAAACAAACAACCCAGAACTTCAACAAGAGTTGACAGTTTTGGTAGCTCTAAGAGACATGATAATTCAGTCTGGTCATCACCACAATCTTCTTCCTACACACACACACACACACACACACACAATGGTTTAGTAATTGTCGATCATAAGAGAGGAAAGTTGGAGCAGGATAATACAAGTAGACTTTGAGTTCTTGAGAAAGAATAATCTTCCAATTAAGGGACACTTACTTGAATACTGATACTCCTTAGGTGATCTTTGCAGTTACCCCTTTGTAGCACAACACCTACTCTACGTGCTATAGTTACACCTGTAGCGTACTGTCTGCACTACGGGGACGGTTCATGTGTCAGGCAAGGGGCTGGAGATTGAAACACACACACACATACACACACACACACACACACACACACACACACACGAGACATGGGTCATCCGGGTCTCCTTGACTAATGGCCACGCCCTAACTCCAGCTGCAAGCCCACCAGAAACCAGTCTCCTACCATCAGGAACTCCTGGGGGTCTCGTGCTCAGAGCAGCTGCAAAACAAGTTGTTTGCTCAGAGCAGCTGCAAGCACAGGAAAACAAGTTGTTTACTTCGGTAGGCAGGGGGTCACAGGAAATTCAGTGTCAGGGGTCCACAGTCCCCAACATCCCCTTTTACCAGAAAAGTGTCAGAAGGAAGGTTTGGCTTTAAAATGGTAGCACTGACCTGCGCTTAAATTTCCCTGTGTTAAAACAGATTGTGGCATGCTGTCTCCAGCTGGAGTAGGTAGAGGTAGGCACCCTTACATTATAATAAAATAAACAAAATACATATGAAAAGATTTGACAAATTTCAGGCTACTGAATGGTAAAATTAATATCCAGCAAAAACTAAAGCCATACAAAATGTTATCAACAAATGAATAAATTTCTAGGTGTGGTAATTTGAATGTAATTGACTCCCCCATAAGCTCATAGGAACAGCACTATTAGGAGATGTGACTTTGTTGGAGTGGGTATGGCCTTGTTTGAGAAAATGTGCCATTGTGGGAACAGGCATTGAGGTTTCCTATGCTCAGGATACTGCCAGTGTCTCAGTCAACTTCCTGTTGTCTGCAAGATGTAGGACCCTCAGCTACTTTTTTCAGTATCATATCTACCCACATGCCACCATTCTCCTGGCCATGATGATAATGAACTGAACCTATGAAACTGTAAGTGAGCCATTCCAATTAAATATTTTTCTTTATAAATAGAGTTGCTGTAATCAGGGTGTCTCTTCACATCAATAGGAAACCCTAAGACAAAATTTGGTACCAGGGACTGGGGTACTGCTGTGATAGGCCTGACTGTAAGGATCTGTTCTGTCCCTTTAAGAGACAAGCCACGTCCACTCCCTCTCTGTCCACTGAGGCAGGCAGCTCTTCCTTCCTGCTTGCTGCTTGCAGCTGAGTCCCTTCTTTTTCCATTTCCTTCTCACAGAGGCAGCTTCTGTCTCTCCCTTCTCTCTCTCTCTCTCTCTCTCTCTCTCTCTCTCTCTCTCTCTCTCT